AGAGGGTTAAGTGTTTCCTGCATTTATTGTAGATAAGGTTAGTAGTGAACAAAACAGGATATAATATGATTCAGTACATGCAAACTTTATGAATGGTGAATGTTCCATTATGAAGTTCCATATAGATAATTAATTGGTAAAAAAACATTTTTTTTGGTGTTGGTATTAATGAGTGACAGAGTCAGGGAGCTTACAAGGAGAACATTTGAATACACTGACTCAGGTAAAAAAAAAAAAAGTACAAACACTGGACAAAGAAACTCAAAAGTAATGTCAGTTAAAAAAATAAAACATTATATATGAGCCATTCTCCAAAGGCCAGCTTAAAAACATTGCTTTCGAACTTTATGGGGCTCAAACAACTGTTAAATTGAAAAAAAGGTAAAGTTTAAAAGATTGCTACAATTAAAATTTTCAAACCATCAATTTTTATACTTTTCTGACGTAAAATAAATTTGATACGTGCTTAATGTTTTTTGTTTTTTTTACCATTTTCAAATTGAGAACATGAATCAGATCCAATACCCACAGAAAATCTGATTAATCTATAACCCTCAATTGAGAGTGACAGCGTTGTCACAGTAAGATAAGATATGCAAAAAACATGAATGCATTGCCCGATTTGCTTCAATAAAAAAGCAGTACTTGTGAGCATCATTTATGTTGAAATACACAAATATATTGAAATGCTGTGGAGTGTTCATTATTATCAACAACATGGGAGTGGGTGGTTGGTGGGAGCTCTGGAGTGGTTTGTTCCTTCTTTCCTATCAAACATTTATCATCCATATCTCTCCTCCTTTTCGAGTTTGTTAATCTCTTGTAACACATCTAATCTTCGGCATTTATATGACCTAACTGTGTTGCAAGTTCCGCAAAATGCCAACTAAAACAGGGCGGTTCTGAAACTGCGATGAGTGATCATATGCCAGGAGATGCACACAACAATACATTTAACGTCCTAAATTTAATTAACGCAAATTCAAACGACAACAGGAATGTTTTCTAGTATGTGCTGGCATTCTCTTTACTTTTAATCAATGTATGTTTTGAGAGTTCAACTTGAGCACCCAAATTTTGAGTCGTTTGGATGTAAAAGAAACCAAATTTATGATACAGCAAAAAGGAAAACACAAAATCAACAAAGCCCTTTCCTAAACATCAACATTCATTTTGTAATGATGTTGACTTTGATGATTTCTCAATAAAGAGTCACTTCATTTTTTAAATTGAAAAAGCCGGATTTCAATCTCATTCTCCATTACGTTGCTTGTCTCTGATGGAGGAAAAAAACCCACTTCAGCAATGCCTATCTTGCGAGAACGGCTCATATACATAAATATATAGTTAAAAAAAACCCCACACACTAAAAGAGGTTGCAAAAATACAATAATACGATAAAATGAGCATACAAATCATGCAGTAAAAAAAACCTTTACAAAATAAGTGGTTGAGTTCACAATGAAAGATGCAAGTTATCTGAAAAATCAGTAAATTGTGTTCAATTTAACCAAAAAAGGGGAAGAAAAAAATAAAATAAAATAGGTACAACAAAATTGGAGTAAAAAGTAGCAAAACTTTAACGGTCTTACAACTAGCCCTGTGCCTAAAGACTAGCAAGTCTTACTCTCGCAAGCGTTAGTGTGTATATTTTCAGGAAAGTACGGAATCTTCACATAAGAACACAATGCTTGAAATGTGAGTCCTAACTAACACAGAGGACTGTTAGTCATAGCATCAAATCTAAAAAATTGAAACTTACTCCTCTAAAGTTTCGAATCCTTCACCAAGTTGTCGAGTTCTGAAAAGATGTGCATTTATAGCCCCCAAAACTTAGGACAGCAACAAATATAGCAACATTTAGAAATGAAAAGAGTTTTAAAAAACCCCAAATATTACACTCAAATGTAAATGCCACAAACAAAACAACCAACTACAATTAAAGCACACACAATGTTTCCTTTTATCATAGGCGAACATAGTCATAAAAGGCAAGCATAATCATAATACATGTATAGGGCAACATGCAGCATTCTGAGTGCAAAGAACACTTGGATACTTCTAAAGAGAGAGAGAGAGAGATCTTATGCAATTGGCACAGAGGGATATTGTTTAATAAGGACCAGAGAGAAAGAGAGAGAGAGAGAGAGAGAGAGAGAGAGAGAGAGAGAGACAGACAGACAGACAGACAGACAGACAGACAGACAGACCGACAGATAGATGAACAGACGAACAGACAGGCCGACAGACAGACATATTGCTATAGTTTTTCTTTCCGAATGTATCTTACATGTCAAACACATTGTCATAGCATGAGAGAGTATGAATGTCAGAGAGAAGAATAAGAAGAACTTCTGGCTTTTTTTCCCCAAACTAAAGAGAAGATATTTAAATGTCTATCCTATTTTCAAGAATGAACTTTAAATATTGAAAGAAGACCTTTTATTCAGCTTGTCTAGAGTTAAAATTGGAATAGGTCCACTGGTAAAAAGTCTTGACAAAAAGTGAAGAAATTTTGTATGTGAACAGATCATGCAAAACATGCAGGCCTGACCAATACACTTTGTGTGACAACTGTAAATAGCGATAACACGTCATGTGACAATTCTAATTTCACTGGGTCAGGTTTCAATACACTGACTACTTGCAGCCTATATATAAAAGTGTTAAGAAATTTCTTCCTACATGACATACTCACTCCTCAACTTCAAATTTGGAGGCTCTTAAATATAACATATATGCACATATGAATATATATAGGCCTACATATATAATTATGCTGCTTTCCTGTTAAAAATTTTTTACCTTAACATTTATCTGTCAAACCAAACAAAGATTTTTCATAATGAAAATGCTTGCAAGACTATTACTTTGTACATCATATCTATAACAAAGTGAGTTCAGAATTTATCTATGAGTGTTGCAAACACTTCACACTGAATAGAACAATTTTTCATTTGAAAGTGCCAAAACCTTTCAAAGTCCAGTTCAGTGGGAACATCTAGCATCAAGAATCATATAAATAAAAGTGACTAAGGCCAAAGGTAAAATCCACTCAGCAAGCTTAAGACACAAACAAAATCCATCATAAAATTCCATACTTAAACGTCTACTGGATTTTTTTGTTGTGGGTTTGAGGCACATGCATTATTCAAGTCAAATTCTAGAAAAAAAAATGTTTTTTCACTCTCCATCCTGAAAAGAAAAATAATTTATGGAAAGACTATAGTCCCTTACCGGGGTTTTCTTGCTGGGGCCTCTTCCCCCCAGCCTGAGACGGCTTTGGTCGGTCTATCTGGCGGACCATCCTGACAAAATAGATTAAACATAAAGTAGAGGAAAAAAAGTCTGAGTAAAGGCTGAAATATTCCCCTAACATTAAAATTTAAATCAGTTACTAATGAAAATCGCTAATATTAGCCCACTCGGGGCACAATCATAGATTTAAGCTATATGTATAACATTACAAAAAGAGCTGTTCAATAAACAAAAAACCAGGGTTACTATAAACAGGCCAATTACTTTGAGATAAAAATAATAAACTAGAAATATTTTCACATAAACGTACTCAGTCAAACAACGAGGTCCCCAGGCCCTAATTTAAATCTGACAAAACAAATGATTTATTTTTAACAGCATGAAATAGTGCATTTTTGTTCCCTGAATTAAAACAATTCAGAGGACTAAAGATTTCAACAATATCAAAACGTAAAACCTGAAAAAGGTTACTGAATCCAAGAGTTGTGGCAACCTCAAACATCCCTCAGACAACATTTCCGTTCTAGAGAAATCCTATTGAGCACAATAATTTATATTCTTCGCATTTTGACTTCAACATTTCAAAAAGTTTATCAAAGATATACAGCAGGGTTATTTTAAAAATTAAACACAGGAATAATTTTAAAAAATTAATCAGTATAAAAAAATAGTTGTTATGTATTAAATCCATTGTCAGAATGTTCACTTAAAATAACATCATGTAGTTTGTAATTGTTATTTTTGTTTTCTTTGCAATCTTTCATCACATTGAAGAGTATTTTATGGTTGACATTGAAGAAAAGAAGAGTGAAAATTAATAAATCAATAATCACTATGGACAATGTGTTTCACGCGCTATAAATGTGCAGAAAGGAGTGCGCAGAAGAGCAGACCCAGACACTCAAGGTGTCAAAGGGACAGGTTTCTAACATATTTATCCATTCAAGTCTCGCAAGTTCAAAACTGAAAATCTTAGAAAACTTACAGAATTTTTCTTAGTCGATGGCACAGAAGTAAGTTCTTCTTCTTCTAGAGCAGGAGCAGGAGTGGCAGCAAGGGCTGCAGCTCTTCTTCCTGTTTTAGCACCCTGTGGAGGTTAAAATTTATAAATGTTATTTATATATAAGGGTTTTCCATTCACCCTAATCACGCACATTCTTATACTATTGGGCACAGATAATACGAACATGGAAAACTTAAAATCGATCTTGGTTAGCTTGCAGAATTTGCCATATCATCATTGAATCTCTTTAATTTCTTTTGTAGTGGTCAACCCGGATTATGGATGTGTGAAACTGGCAATGCCAATGAAATTTAATTTTTCGCTTTAGCCCTTTTTTATTTGGTACCTAAGAAAGAATTTTCAATGTTAAGAATCATGCTTCTTGAATTTTAAGAATCGGTTGATAAATAAAAAAGTTACGGAGTTGAAAAGGTTGGCAAAATATGGATGTCCCACATATAGGAAAATATTCCTAAAAGTGGACCACGCAATATCAGATTCTGTAAGGAAATTGACGATATCTCAGTATTCAAGGGTTAGACGAAAGAAACTTGGCTACCCGATGTGTTTTTGGGAAGAGAAATAATTTCTGCAGTCAGATTTATGAACCATTCCGTAGTTATTTTGTTATAATTAACATTTTGGTGTACATATTACGATTTTGCAAAAAACGGGTGTTGGGATGAGAGCATTTTTTAGCATCGTATCACAACATGGGATCTTTAAGAATATATTGGCAGTGTGACTAAATAGTGGCAAAGCTTTTTTTGATGACTCTAGACCATCTCTCTCTTGCCCTTTAAAAATTTTTAGCTCCCAGAGGAGCATAGGCCATCAACAACATTTTTCCAGCGAAGCCTGTCCTGTGCATCCTTCTCTCTTTCAGCTTTCACCACCCTGCATTATTCTACACTCCATTTTCTCTCCTCTCTTTGGTGAAGAAGACCCTCCATCTTCCAGAACTGGCAGTCGTGTTGTTTTTGCTGTTGATGTTTTTGTAGACTGTTTTTCGTTTTTTTGTTTTACGGAAAAGGGCTGCTACCCCTTTGCCCAACCGACTTTAGTCGCCTTCTACGACATGAGCGGACTTTAGACAATGCCAACCTTAAAATATAAGTTAATTAAATCTAGCATGCTGTACAATTGATTCAAAACTCTTTTTTCCCGTTGAGATGTGAACATCCCGAGGCGAGATAAGCTAGCCTCGGAATACCCCCATTGCGATGTTAAAGGGTAATAGAGAGAAAAACAACTGGATGCATGCGCCCGCCATTGCCCTATTTCAAGTAATCAATTAAACATCCCGTTGAGATGCGAACATCCCGAGGCGAGATAAGCTAGCCTCGGAGTACTGCCATTGCGATGTTACAGGGTAATAGAGAGAAAAACTACTGGATGCATGCGCCCGCCATTGCCCTATTTCAAGTGATCAATGAACAGGCTCGGAACAGTCATGCAGGGATTTGTAGGTCACATACATTTGTCGAGGGAGTGAGGGGAAAATGGCCTGTCTCCGTGCGAAACCGCTTTAGATAGCAGAGTAGTCGTGCATTTATGAAAATCAGAGTTGGTGATTTTTTTTGATTTTTTAAATAAAAATTTAAAAAATCGATTTAAAAATTTAAATCAAGATTTTAAAAATTTAAATCAGATTTTTTATATTTTTTTTAAAATGTCGACACAGTTTGGGATTTTTGGTTGCTAAAAGTATGTTCTTTTAGTGCAAAATGCATTGTCTTTATTTTAACTAATGATTAATTTAAGCAACCGCAAAAGAAAGCCTTAATCTGCTATATATATATCAGTGAATTATGGCTACAAACAAAAAATGAAGAAAATGTCAGTCTAAAAGGAAGGGGGGGGGGGGGGGTTAATTATGCATAGATAAACTTGCATTTTATTACAGTGTGTGTGTGTGCGCGCGCTTGTGTTTGTCTAAAAAGAAAAAGGAAATGTTAATTTCAATAATGTAAAAAAAGTAAATTGAATACTGTATAATTTTACAGTGACAGGGGGAAAGCAGACTTTTAAGCATGGTTATATTAGTCTACTAAACCTTTATGTCTGTTTGATAAAACCAAGGAAAGGAATTCTGAATGTTTAAAGATGTAAAAACAGAATACATTTTTAAAAAGTGATTTTAAATCACTGAGTTTTATTTTTAAAATCAAGTTGATTTAAATTTTTAAAAATCAACTGATTTAAATCGACCTGATTTAAATCAACCCAACCCTGATTTCAATTATGAAAAAAAAAGTCGATTGAATACTGTATTATTTTACAGTGACAGGGGGGAAAGCAGACTATTAAGCATGATTATATTAGTCTACTAAACCTTATATCTGTTTAATAAAACCAAGGAAAGGAATTCTGAATGTTCAAATATGTAAAAACTGAATACATTTTTAAAAAAGTGATTTAAATCACTGATTTTTATTTAAAAAATCAAGTTGATTAAAATATTTAAAAAATCAACTGATTTAAATCAACCCAGCTCTGATTTCAATTATGGAAAAAAAAGTAAATTGAATACTGTATTATTTTACAGTGAAAGGGAAAGCAGACTTTTAAACATGATTATATTTGTCTACTTAACCTTATATCTGTTTTATGAAACCAAGGAAAGGAATTCTGAATGTTGAAATATGTAAAAACTGAATAAAAATAAATTTTAAAAAAAGTGATTTAAATCACTGATTTTATTTAAAAAATCAAGTTGATTAAAATATTTAAAAAATCAACTGATTTAAATCAACCCAGCTCTGATTTCAATTATGGAAAAAAAAGTAAATTGAATACTGTATTATTTTACAGTGAAAGGGAAAGCAGACTTTTAAACATGATTATATTTTCTACTTAACCTTATATCTGTTTTATGAAACCAAGGAAAGGAATTCTGAATGTTGAAATATGTAAAAACTGAATAAAAATAAATTTAAAAAAAAGTGATTTAAATCACTGATTTTATTTAAAAAATCAAGTTGATTTAAATAAAAAAAATCAACTGATTTAAATCAACCCAACCCTGATGAAAATGATCAGGTCTAAACAACTACTTGACACAGAATGTTCAAATCTGAGGACACTATAGAGGAAAGATAGATCTCTTACATTCTCGATGTTGAAATTCAAGCTCCTGATAGTTTTCGGTATACGCGATATGAAAGTGTTCGCGAAACCAAAAGTCCAGGTTATTTTATGAGTACGAACTTCAACCTCCACATTCATTAGTTTGCCCTATTTTCTGATTGGTTGCCACGTTTCATTCACATTGGACCAGAAATAGAGCAGACGGAGGTTGAGAAAGTTAGTCACTTACATTCCGACCCGGTCCAAAAATTCACCCCCAAATGGGGATCAAATTTTCACGTAGAAACCTGTCATGACTGATTCTCTTGTTCCTCCAAGATCGAAGTGACAGTCCGAATAGAGAAAAATTATATTCGGACTCTGAATTGAGTCCAGCATGACGACCATTCCGACTTCCGACCTCTTCGTTATAATGATAACAGTCGAGACGTGAGCTTTAATATCCAGTTACTAGATCAATCTAAACTGTCCCTCCCAGCATCATTGGTATGAACAGAACGATCAAGTTGAGCTGACCTTGCCGGGGGCAAAGTTAATTATGTCGACCAATGAGACTGCGAGTAGCGATCTTCCCCTCTCGGCTCGCTGGGGGAAGAGGCCACAGGGTTTTGTGCGATGTGATAAAAGAAAAGAAAATTACAGAATAACACACAACAAAATGAAATTAAACATATGGAAAGAAAAATGGTGGTGGAAGTTATGATGATGCTGTAGTGGTGGTGGAGAGACCTTGAGTTGTCTGTTACCTACCGTGTACTTAAACACTGCCACTGGGTAGATCTAATGAGAGTGCAGTCTTTTGACTTTTGACACAATTACACAATCCTAGTAGGCAATTCTAGTTCTAATTCTGGTGTGACGTAAAATCCCCCGATGAAAGTTATATTCTGTACACTCCTTACACTCACAAGACTCATTTAAAAGCTGAGTCCGAATAAATAAAACATTTTTTTAGGACCCGAGTCCGAATAGTTAAAAATTATTCGGACTCAAGTCCGAATAGAGCTGGCCCTCCTAGATCACAGCGGATAAAATACCGTCCAGACCGCTCACTTAGTTTTCCTTCCCCAGTTCCTCCCCGACCATCCTCACCACCCTGCCCGCCCCGCCCGACAGCCCAGCGCGTAGTCATAAATCACTTGTCAGAGGGGTTAATTGGGGTGACCGCAGCGTCACTCCTCCTGTGCCGGGGCAGTAGTAAA